GTCTGATATTTCATTATACTGGGTAGCAGTTGATGGAGCCAGATGCTCCCTCAAAGAAAGAGAACCACAAAGAATCCTGCCAAGCTGCTGATCTATTAAACACTTGCTCTGTAAGTAGTGTTATAAACAGAGAGGCTCTTATTCCTGCAGTCACAAAATGGAGGGTGTTCAAAAGAAAGCTTTGAAAATTTTTATGTTGGTGTTGTGTGGGTTCTTGTTTATTTTTCTTTTTTTTTTTTTTTTTTACAGTGACAGTAAGGCTGGTTCTACAGACTCTCATCTTAGCAGAAAAGCTGTTTTAAGCTGTTCCTGTCTACCTTCCCTTCCCCCAAACTAATTCTTGTCTCTATATCATCTCTTCATTTGTGCCACCAGAGATATTTAGGGTCTTTTGGCAAGCATGATTTGCTAATTGATTACACATATATTGGTCAATTCATTCAGAGCAAAAATATCTTAAACTCCCCTCTCCAAGGCTATTTTTACCTTTGAGTCTTTTGTTTAGTTCCTTGGTTTAATTCATCTCATAGTCCCACAAACAGCAGTACAGTACAACTGAAGGGGATGGCATGGAATCAAGCAGGAGTACCTCTGGGCAAGGGTGGAGAGAACAAGATTCCATCGGGACTGAATCTAGCAGTTTGCCATATACAAAGTAAGAAGTAGTTCTTAAAGAGGAAAGCTTATAAGGTAAAAAGTCAAGACAGAAAAGACTCAAGAGTCCCACTTCACCAATGAGTGCTTAGAGGTGAACCCCAAATGCCTAGAGCTACTGTAGCTGCTACAGCACTAAACATCGCAGCACTATATTTTGTAGCGCTAGTGAATGTCTGGGTTAGACCTACTCTCCTACAGTGTAAGGTTTGTTCAGCACAATGAACTGGAAATAAAATAAGAAAATAGTCTGTTCTTGGAAGGATTTAACTATGCATTCTTATTATTTTAATTACTTACTTCATTCAACAAGATATTCAGGAAATTCCAGGAGGTGTTCTGCTCTTTCTTGCCCAAAGACCAGTTAGAGATGTGAGAGGAGACAACACACTCCTGATCATAAAACACCCAGACATGTTTATAACAAATCATAAATGTAGTTTATATAAATCCAACCTAAGCTTATGCTTTCATAGTCCTTTCTTGGAAAACATATATAGCACATGCTACTGAGAGTCATGCTTTGTGGTAAATATTTCCTAGAAGTATCTGTTGCTATAGTGCAAAGGGTATTTATAAAAATTTTGGCTTTTTTTCCCCCTTAGCAGAGATTGTGAGATGAACTCCTTCAGGAAGAAATCGTCATTTGAACAGGTCCAAGTCCTGCTTGGACCTGAACTTCTCTAACATGAACATATAAAGGTATAAGTAGCTACAGAAGGAACAGAAACAACCCTCAGACCAACTACAGCAACACAAAGTAAACCACACAAGCTTCCAACAAACAAACAACCAAAATGCTGGTATCAATCATGCCACAAAAGTTGTTTTAGGTGTTGGGTGTTGAGAGAACATAGGACTAGTGTGAGTCAAAGTACTCATGGTACAAATGGCAGGAAATTAGGGTGGTCAGTGTGACAGGAAAGTCCATAAAAACAAGCAGAGGTGATCTGCTTGTTGCCTGAGAAGTGAGACTTGATAGAACTAGAGCTCCTCTCTGTTCTTGTGTTCACACATGAGCCTGAAAAAGCAAAAAAGGGTTCCCTCATAACCTGTAACTTCCTGTGGTCAAGATGGTCATATTCAGGCTTCAGAGAGAAGCCATTTTGGCTGTTCTCCTTAGCCCAAGTAATAGATTTATTTCTCAGTGAAAATTGCATGTTTGCTCCGAACAAGCAGAGTGGATCACAACATGGAGAGGTGTACAGAGGGAGAAAAGTAGCCAGTTTTTTTACTGTGTTTGCTTTTACTGTGACAGCTTTTTGCAGATGCAATACTGAAAAATTATTTAAGAGGATTTGACTTGTGCTTCCTGAGAACAACAGGAATGATTTTTGGCTCCCTAAAGGCTGTGAGTTTGCTGGCTGAAGCAAAAAAAAAATGAAAGGAAAATTGAAATTAGTTTCAGATCAACTGAAAATGCCCCACCTCACTTCAACACACAGAAAAGCACATTAAAAATTCCCCCTTTTTCATGATAAAGAAAAAAATTGGTTTGGGTTAAAGATTTATTTTGTTTGATCAAGGCAAGATGCTTTAATATGACCTGATTTGAGTTTTCTCAAAAAAAAAAAAAAAGGCAATTTTTATCCCAAGAATGGCATTATCAATAAAACAAAGAGAGGAGTGATCACTGCTGTGATGTAAATCACAGCAGACCTGTGCCCCAGAGTCCTGTATGAGACAATAACTGTAGATCTGGAGACACAAACACAGGAGGGTTTATGCTGTCTTCCAACATGTGGTCAACACCATTTCTTAACTTCTGCAATTTTACTGTAATCTTCTGAGCAGGCAGTGTTAATATCAACACCATGTATTTTTTATTTTTTCTGAAGACATTTGTTCAGACAGGCATATGCTGTTATTGGGACAAATAAGGGTGCCTGATACTTCCTCTTCTTTCTCTGCCCTTTAGTAGCTTAATGGAGCAGATTCTTCAGCTGCCAGTGGAGTAGAGCCAAACCTGATGAGCTGAGGAGAGAGTTTGCTGTGCAACATGCTCCATGGTTGCCTGCACTGCTGACACTGTGGAACAGAGCTGAACTATCTAGTTCCTCTGGTGTGTTCCAGCTTTTACACTTCAAGATTTCTTTTTTTTTTTTTTTTTTTTTTCTGATTTAATAGGTCTGTGAATATGCATGGAGCTCTGGCTTCACAGCCAGTAACAGGATGCTCTTATGATCATCATTAGTGTCTCCCCAGGAGCTTGTCTCTTGATTGCTCACCAGCTGAGTGGTGGAGCTCTCTTAACCAGTTGCTATCACATACTAATATTAGCCTGGGACACAGGAAGATCTGGAGTCAATGCATGAAACAGTACTGACCTGTATTTGCATTTATTTGTTATTTTTTTGTGCCTGCATTTGGAAGACTCAGTTCTGGCTGATCTCTTAGAGTAATTACTCCTGGGAATACTCTATTTTTTGAGAAACTTCTCCAGGCAACACTATCTCTTCTAAAGGAAAGATAGTAATTTAAAATGTTATGTGAGTCTTTTCCTTATCCATTTAACTTGAAAATGATCTTGCCACTGAAACAAAGTATCTAAAATCATGGAACAGAGGAGATATAGGTTTTAGTAGCTGCTCTGGAATAGACAACATCACTCATTATAAGCTTTTTCTTCAAAGCCAAAGCTATGCTTGAGCTGCCAGAAGGTTTTCTCCAATATCAATTTCCTTTGAGTATGTACAATTTGATTTACTTGAAGGAATCTTGTCCTTTTGACTACAAACATAGTATTTATGCAGGTTTTATAAGAAAAGCAAAATGACAGTTTGCAGATATGCATTTGAAATCACCACATTGAATACTGGCATTAAGAGATGAACCATATTTCACAATAAGTAGCCTGTCAAATTCAGCAAGCTCTCTGCTTCTATAGAAAACTGACCAAAAAAAATAGACCCTCTTAATTAAATGGCACATTATAATTTTTTGTCCTCTTTTGTTATAATAGTATGTATATACACATACACATGTATGTACACACATATGCATGTACGTATATTTTTAGAAATCTTAAGAAATCAACCCAAAAATTCTGACTTACATACTGCAACATTTTTTTCAGATGTAATCTATTAGACTTGCATTCCCTGGAAGCCCTTATAGCGAGACAATTCACATTTATCTTTTCTCCCATAAGAGTCTATTTGCAGAAGCTTTTTAATGCCAGTGGAGAGCCTACAAAGTGCAAAAAATAAATCACTTTTTAGCTTCTTCTACAGAGGGCTAAAGGCTTAGTGTCTCAGGGAAAGTCAGGAAAGGAAAGTTATGGAAGAAACTGTGATGGAGAAATCAGTAGTACAGTGACATACAAGCATACTTGCCTTATTAGCTACAATAGATATTAGCAAACCTGAACTGGTTACCGCCAACTATTCCTTTGGATTGCTATCGCTGAACTAAAACAAGTACATATGAATGCACTTTCTCCGTAGGGTAGAGAGGTTGACCTTCCTATGGCCACTTTCTGCCCAAAGTCTGTCACCAGCTCCTGAGAACTTCCTTGGTTATCTCTGAATTTGGTTGTAGTACTTTATCATAGAATCATAGAATAGTCTGAGTTGAAAGGGACATTTAAATGTCATCTGGTCCAATCCCTCTGCAATGAGCAGGGACACCTCTAACTAGATCGGGTTGTTCAAGGCCCTGTCCATCCTGACAGGAATGTTTCCAGGGATGGAGCATCTACCACCTCTCTGGGCAACTTCTTCCAGTGTTTCACTACCCTAATTGTAAAAACAATTCTTACTTACATCTAGTCTGAATCTATGTATTTTTAGTCTAAAACCACTAACCCTTGTCCTGGGGCAACAAAAAAATTTTCCCCATCTTTCTTGTAAGCCCCCTTTAAGTACTGAAAGGTCTCAATAAGGTCTCCCTGGAGCCTTTACTTCTCCAGGCTAAACAACCCCAACTCCCAGCCTTTGAGGTGCTCCATGCCTCTGACCATTTTTGTGGCCATTCTCTGGACATGCTCTAACCAGCTCATGTCTTGCCCATACTGAGGAATTCAGACCTGGACACCAGGTAGGCCAGGTAGGCTCTCACCAGAGAGAAACGGGTGATCATTATATGAGTGTTTTACTTAGACCATTCTCTTCAGAAGCACTCTGATCCTCCTACCCTGTACCCCCCTACTCCCAAGTCTTTCAATCTTCAAAACATGTCAAATCATATTTCTGCAGGTAGTTTTTTACCCATGATAATGTTTTAAGCAAAACAGGATAGAATCTGAGGGAGGAGCTGGTCCCTAGTGAGAGCATTGCAATCCTCAGCCGGACTGGATGCCGACATGGTTTTCAGTAGTTAAGAACAAAATTTAATGGTACCTGAGGTAGCTGCTGGAAAAGTAGATGGATGCTTGTCTCAGCTGGCTCCTCAAACAGTTGGTTTATTAAGAGATGAGTGTAGGGATGTGGAGAAGGCCAAAGAGCAGGCAGCAGACATGGGGCAGCATACAGAAAATATCCTCCAGCAAAGGCTTTATACTGTGCAGAAACAACCTGAAAATTCAACTGGTAAAGAAAAGCAGAGGGAAATATGTCCATATGTATGTACTTGATTTTCCAGCTTTGCTTTTTTCATTCAAATAGATCTGAAGAGCTGTAAAGTGGGGGGTAGCAATATGATCAGTTGTAGATTTCCTCTTTAATACATATTATTTCAAATTGATCCATTATATAAAAAAATATTGCTGTCTGGGTTTTCTATTTTTACAAAGACTTCTCTGTGAAATAGATGCTTGATTCAATAGATTGTATGGTTCTCCCTTTAGTTAAGTCAGCTGCTTAACAGGGTTTTAAACAGAGGAGCTTGGCGCCTGAATTCTGAGCAATGTTTCTGCAAAAACAAGAAAAGTAAGAAACCTGAGTTAGCTTGAAGACCAGAATAGAGGTGAATACAATACATGTATATAGACTATGAACTATGAACTCTAGCTCTTTCTCCTTCTTTAAAAATGGATTTGAGATTATAAAGTGTTTCAATTTGTTTGAACAATCATGAAAATGGATTCCAATACCTTTGTTTCTATTTTCACATGCTCTGGAGTTGTTCTTTTATCATTAAAATTGTATTCCTCACTCTGATCCCTTTCTTTTTCTGACTGTGTTTTAGTCCTGTGATGTGCCCAAAGTTTGAAAACTACCATAAGAAATAGACCAGTAATTTACAGTAACCATTAGAATTTTTAAGTGCAGCTATTATAAAAGTTTTAAAATCCCTGATGTTAATGGATAGAAAGTTCAAAAAGACAATTCTACTAATCTATGTAAAAGTAAACTGTCCTCCCTAGTGTGCCTTTTTTGGCTTCACACGATTTTTTGTTATTTACTCTGATAGTTTAGCAATTGCAGCTGCCTAAGATGAAAGTAGAAAATAGGTCAATGGAAGTCATGCAGAAATTCCTTAGAAAAGACACATTGCTCCTACTCTTGAAGTAACTGATCTCTAGGAGGATCTAATATCAGGTTCTCTATTGAATTGTCACATTTTGCTGTAACTCAAAAAAATTTTCAAGGGTAAATGGCATTTTATACTTTGCTATAATACCATGAATCACAGCATTTGGAGCATCAATGCCAATTAATTAGATTAAAATCTTAGGAACCAATTCACTTTTTGAGGGAAGATAGAAGCTATAGTGCCATAAGTACTTAATGTCTTAATGTTAAAGTCATCATATATTAGGAAGTAGGACACTGTTACCAAATCTTCATTTTGTCACAGCTTGGAAGGACTACTTGTAATATGTGATAATCGATATGGACTTTTCAGAGAAGTTAGAAGATCCCCTCCCAGGGACTCATTCTATACCAAAGCAAATAGGAAAATAGGTGAGTGGAAATTGATGGTCTGTAAATGTATTCTCTAGAAGTTTAGTGGCACAACAGGAATTTTTTGGCACGTAGAATTTACTGTTCCAAACTGTGTAAAGGAAGAAAACATTACTAGTACCATGCAATATTTTGTTTTGTTTTGGTTTTTTTTTTTCTGAAATGGGAATAGCAGATGTGGGTAATAAACTCGAGGGAATGAAAATGTCCATTACTAGCAGCTGACTAATGCTGACTATCTTATCTTTTCAGTGGTCTAAAAATCAGCAATGGGAAACACTTATGAAATGGTCTTTTCTTTTTACTGTTCTTTGACTTGACTTAGCTATTTGTATTCCCTCAATTTTTCCTTTATTATATGAGATTGTAAAGCATAATAAGAAAAACTGAAGGTAAATAAGTACTGTTACTCAAAGGACTAGTGATTTTTCTTAAGATGTTTATGTTTGTAAGGCACTGAATTAAATCTTCATTGAGGAATAGATTTTAGTAACATGAATAAGATTAAAATATTAGAGTTTCTTCCTTCTAAGCTGGATCCTTTTAGTGTATTTATCCTGTGCAAGAATAAGGTGGTATTATGTGTTTTTACTTAGGTCTGTTTACTTACAGTTGTTTGTGAAAAACTTCTCTTCAGCCCTTCTTTGGTGTTCAGAAGATAATTTTTGGTCATGGAAATTCCAAAACATAAGAAATGGATGTGGAGGAATCAACTGAGCAGAGCCCTTGCATCTCATTTAATTTCCCTTCCTACATCGGGGAAGAAACATTGTAGGTTACACTGGATCAGCCAAATCTGAGTTCAAGACCTCACCCAGAGTGTTGAAACTCCTTGGCAAAGTTAAGTAACATCTGCAAATACTTGGACGGATGTTATGTATAGCTACAATACACTCGACACACATTGCAAACTGTGTTCAGAACTACAATTCTGTAAATATTTCATGTGGATGTAATGCATCTACAAAGAAAGAAATTTGTAATATTTTTTAAAATTTGCTGGGCTATATACTTGCATACATACATATATATCTTTGTATACACATACATATATTTGTGTGTGTGTGTATAAACGGTTTTATTTTCAAAGTACCATCTTCAATCTCAATCATGAGCTTACTACTCTCAGTAAAAATTATA